TGTATTGCGTATGAAATAGAAACTTACTTCATTTCGATCAGTATTTTTAAGTATGTGTAGTGCTACGTCGGGAGCAATATTTCGAGCTAATTCGAAGATCGTTCGACCGCCACCTTCGTATTCACTAGGCATATTTTTCTTCGAACTTTATGTTTTGTGGTTTTTGTACGATGGTCCTCCCCACGAAGGCGAAGTTACAAGCCTTGTATTTCATTAGGTATTTTGCTAAAGAGCAAAAATAACCCTCGATGTATTCGATCTTATCCCTCAAACCATAAATTTTCGCATTTTTCTTAGCAAATTCCAATTTTTTCGAGTCAATGTCTATCGCGATCATTTTTTTATACTTCATTGCTAACTGAATTACGTTACCTCCGGCGCCACAAAACGGGTCCATTGCTACATTGTAACCCACACACGTCTTGGCAATATGCTTGCTTAAAATTTCAGGGCACACGGAATAAAATGATTTTCAAATATTAGTTAACATTAAAAAAATAAATATTACTAGAGTATTAATTGAATTACCATAATCCAAGAGAATTCCGTCATCAAATTTTTCAAACAAAGTGTCTTTAGAATAGCAATTTGAACTAGCAGAAAAAGCTAATTTTATTGGAGCTATTACTGTCCAACTTATGTTTAATTTGCGAAGTGTTACTGGTAAATGACGAATCTGTTGTATGTGATTGAATTGATTCAGTCGAGTGACTTATTTGAATTGAAATGATGTTCTTTCACGCCTTTATAGCGTTTTGGAGTTAAAATGTGTGTCAGCGTCGGTATTGTCATTATTTGTTTATCTGTAATGCGATGAATTTTGCAGTGTTTTGATCAGATCGGTTTTAGATGAACTGTTGGCTGTACTATTCTCAAAAATGCCTTCTTCGGTTTCAAAATTCTTTGTTTGTGTAGATGTCTCAAAATAGCGTGTCCTGATATGACATTTGGAGTCACCGTTTTTTTCTCCTTGGAAAATTTATTGTCCAAAAATATGATAAACGTTAGAACTAAAATACTACTGAAAGAGAGACCTGTATAAATGGAACAGGAATAAAAAGATAAGCAAGCACCATAAATGAAAACATGAAAAATGTATCCGTTTTGAGTTGCCTCGCAAAATTTTTTAACTTATATGAAATAACGTAGAAAATAACACAGTTAAAAAGCTTTTGGAAATTTGTAAGTAATAATAACTATGGAGAAATACTCGCGGTAATTTTAAATGAACTGAATTAAAACTATATATTTTCTTTATTTTTTAAATAGAAAATTATTCATGGTTACCATTATTCCAGCAAATTTATGTAAATTATAAATACATTATACCAATTGAAAAATTTTGAGTTATTTAAACTATAAATTAATATTGATGTATTTTTTGTCGTCTAAAATAAAAATTATTATCTGAAAAATTGTTATTCGGCGAATAAGTGATAATGTGGATTTAGAAATTTTATGATTAAAAAATGTATAGTATTTATATACATAAGAGTGTGAAATGTTAAAAACATTTAGCTAAGAAAAGTGACATACATAAAATAAAATAAAAATATATTCACAGGATCATTGCAATGGATTGGTTCGTGCATAGACAGTCATACTTCAACTCTGTGTCTAATTGAAAGTTGTTGAAATACATCTTATAAAAAAATTTATTTTTCAAGCTTTGAGATATTTAAATGTTATACATTGGAATGAAAACATGTTTTTGATTTTACAATTTGTATTGTTTGTTAACTTGGGATGATTTCATCTTATTAAGTAATAACTTTCATTTTGTTTTGGAAATGATGCAAATATTATATATATATATGAGAGTTTTAGTTAGTTTAGACACAAAAACGATGCCCAAAAAAAGCTCTTTTCTTTTGTTTATCTGAAATGTGAAAAATTGATTTGATTTTCATTTTGATATACATTCTTATCGCGAGATGGACGTTGCCTCTGATATAAACCGATCACACACGAGGCTGTGCGGAAAGGTGACACTAGTTGCTACCAACGTTCTTCGTGACAGTGGCGGTGACCTCGATATATTATAAGTGCATGTGCAGAATAATACACAAATATATAACTATAACTGCAGTGCGGATTGTCCGAGGTGAGCAAGTGTATGACTGTTCTCAGGAGGGTTTACTATCCGCATTACCTACGTCGATGGCTTGCCTAGCCGAGTGGTTTAGTTAATGTTGTTGTTATAATATTATAACTTGCAGTTCCTCTTCGTCGACTAGCTACTGCTGTTGTTGTGACTATTGCTATTGATGATGTCCTCTTGTGAAACGCGAGCGCGCGCCCGCGTATCTCAAGGGGTTCATCGGTCTGTTTATTGCGACTTCGCGAGCGACTGCCAGTCGCCGCAACCACGATAGAACAACAATGCTACGAAATGCCTCTCATTTAAATACATACGGAATACACACACGCATACTTATCCACATATGACGTGGTATATAAATATACATGGTTACTGTTAATACATATAAATAAAAGGTACGCACATTTACGTACCGTGCGAATGTGTGTGTGTGTGTACAGGGAAGGCGAGGAGGTGGTAAAAAGCACTCCAACAACAGTAATGATGGGCGCAGTGACCGAGGCGGCCTCGGGACTACCTCTACACTAGTTGCTGACGACCGTCTATAATATGTTGTGTTAGTGTGTGTGTTTGAATTGACGAACAGCCGCGGCCGAGAAAAAGATTTGCTTATTTACCGTCTAGACACCTGTATAAAACCAGACACTCCCCCGTCTAAAGAAGGCTGCTACAATGACTGGGGCCACCGCTCTCTTGGAGCCGCGTTTATACGACCTGACCGCGACCTAACCCCGAGCTTGTTGCATTAATACCGCCGCCTTGTGCGTCGCATCGATACTTGGTGCGTTTCTACTTTTTATCCTCGTCCAACGGCCGCCTCCCCTCCAAAAATCCATTAAATATGACCCTTAAATTGAACCCGACCGGGGAAAACAACGTGCATAAGAATGTTTGCATAATACCGTTAATAGTCACATGATCGCGCGAAGGAAGAACGGTAGGGCAAGACGAACGGGTGACGCGCCGCTTACTTTTTGTCACATATTTGTATACAATCAATATTGGGATAGTCCTCGACTTTTATTACTTTCAAAATATTAGTCTCGCAGTCGTTTCGAACGTTATGGTTTTCACTTGAAATTTCCTATGGTAGTGAAAATTTGACGACTTCACTTCAATAACTGTACATGCAAGTTTTTATCGGTTTTGGTTGGATAAACAAACCAAGAGAATTTATGCGTCTTCTGTTATCTTAAGCTCGAAATTTGACTTTTCTTGTTGTTTAAACTGAATGCTTATAAATGGGATTATGTTATTATTATAGTCAGTCGAGAAATAATCGATTTTGACGCGTCAACATCGTTCTTCAGTTTAAGAAAATTTATGATGAAAAAACAAGATATATCATTCTAAGCATGACAATCTTTATTACTTCTCATGCATTATTCGACTGTTAGATCAAGTAGATTTATTATCTAGTTAAATAATCTATTCCTTTGAAATATCATGACGTAGGTCATGTGTTTAACGGTCTAATTAACAGGAAATCAGGTGTGTACTAATTTAATAATATTCTGTAATCAATGAGATAAGCTTTTTTCATGTTAATAAAAATAAAAAATTATTTCAATTGAAATTTAAGGGACTATAATATAGGCAAAATACATACTCGTCAAAGTGTTAAGTTGCTAAAATTTCCATATTTGGAATCATTAATATAATGCAGGGCCGGGATTAACAGTTATATGACAGCTCCAGGAACGGAATAAAAGTTCGTCATTTTTTTGGGGGTTAAAACCTTATATTCATTTGTCCTTACAACTATTTCCATTGATCTATGTCTGAAGCATTTAATTAAAAACAAGATCATTTTTTTTTCGAGTCAAATCAAATATTTAAATTAGGCTTTTCGATGAAATTAATACTAAAAAGCCTTTAAATATTTTGTTGACCATTTTAATTTGGAGTTTGTTTGAGAAATTATATAGTTAATTCAATCGCGTACTCTTCTAAAAAATAATTGTAATATTAAAAAAAAGTTAGTGCCATGTAAACAAACACAATTAAGCCCTCCAAAAAAAAAGATGTATTTGTAGTTTAATTTGTTTTTTCAATTGATAAAAAGAACTATGTAAATGAATATAGTCTCTGTTAGTTCCGGCGATAAGTTTTTCTGGGCCCCGGTGCCAGGAAGGAGAAAATTGAGTGGAATAGATCTCTCCTGAACAAATTATAGCGAAAAAAAAATACACAATTTATGTTAAAACATCGTAAGAAATGATCCGCAAATTACTATAGCTCAGTATTATATTTTTAATATACATATTAATTTTACACTCAAGTAGTGTAACTTTGGCATAATGTATCGAATATTTGTACACAAATGTAACATTTTTATCATTACTTATCAATCTTTCCACTTTTATTGTTTACGTTAAAAATGTAAACCAACACACGTATGTATAAATTTGGAAATTTTTTTTTCATAGTGTACAAATTTCTTTTTATTTAATACTGTAAATTATAAAAACGACTCACTGGCGTAATTATGAGGCGAATATGGGTGTCTGTCATATCTCTCCCACGGCAAAAATAGTCATATGGCGAAGATACAATTTTTTTTTCATTTGGAGGGGAAAGTGAACAATTTTCTTGTGTATATTCCTTCTAAATGAAACTCTAATTACTGAAACGGCTTTCATTTCCATGTTTATTTCAATGGTGAGAATTTTTCGTCAGACATCGTTTTGCTTAATCTCAATTGAACAATACTTAAACTTTAAGAACATTTTTTTTTTGTGCGTCAAGATGACCTTTTTTTAAAATTTTAGTGTATAAATTTTAATAGGCATTACATCGAATTATAAGCAAAAATATTCACATCTATCGCGTAGCTCAAATACTACTAGCGGCACAGGCGGTAGTAATAAATCGATGGTTCGCACATTCGATAGTGTCGACGGCGTTGCATTTCATATGGCGGGAACAGATCGCGGTGCCCATGCACATTCTCGGTACCTGTCCGTGGAGAGAGACGACCAACAGTCCGAAATTGACGGTGCCGACCAGCACGGAAGTCCGCACAGTTTAAGTCATAATATTGTTCTATCGTGTGTTGATTGCCGTTTTTACATTATTATTTTTTTTTAATTTAGAGTCATAAAAACGTTTTTAGTTTAAGCGGTTTTACTTTTTTTATTTAAAATTTATAATTGAAAATTTGAAACCAATACCAAACTGTTTTAAGTCAAACCGTCGATATTTTTTCACAGACCATATAATACATTTAAAAAATTTATGCTTTTTTCTAAGTTTGAACTTTTGGAAGGTATGAAATATTTTGATCGAAAATAATTAATAAACTAAACAATGTTTTTTTCAATGTAATTAAACTACATGTTTTTCAAAAGTGTTCATTAGTATTTTATAAATTCAATATCTTTTTTTTTCATTTCGAATAAAATAAAAATATTAATTTTCTTGTATTAATTTCGATTACACAATAAATTAACAAAGTTAGTTTTATTAATCAATTAGATTGACTATACATTTATTTGTTTACTGGCAATTACAAAAATAATGTTTATTTTACGTATCAAAATTTAAAATTTTAATAAGCTATTTCATTTATAATGAAATTAAAATTAAAATGGATACTAGTATAGTCTATAAAATAAGTATATATAAACAGCTTACACTTTGTACTCTTGTAAAGTTATTTCACCCTTTATTTTTATAAGCCCCTTTTTAGCAGATCAACTCAAAGCATTTTATAAATAATGCTGTTTATGTTATTCATTTATAAACCACAATTTATTTTTCATGAAGTATTATAATTTTTTTCAGCGAGTTGAAAAATCTTTATGAAAATTATTCAATTATATTCCAAACAATTATATTAAACGTAGAAAGATTCACTGTAAAATTAGTTTAGATTGCTGTTAAAAATTATAACCGTTGGAAAAGTAAAATGAGAAAATTTGATCATAAATAGATTAAATTATTTTTGTTACAAAAGTATTAAGTTATTTAAATACAACTATATTATCGATAATAGTTAAAAAGTTTAATATTATTTATGTATTGGGGGTATTTATACGTTAATAATAATAATAAATAATTAAATGTTCAAAAGTTAATATAAATTATTGTGTAAAATTTTTCTAAGTTCTTGAAAATTCCTGTAATTAATGATGTATGAAAAAAAATATTTTGGTGATAATATTCGTCAGTTTTGTATAACAAGTATTCGTTAACTATAGTTAAGTTGTATATACACATCTTGAAATGATGTAATAAAAAATATATCAATATTTAAATAGAAACGAGTTTATTTATAAAATTTTTATGGAAATTTAAAAAACTCGTAAGCCATTAACTGTTATTGAGTTTTGGGAAACATCTCAGGTGTGTGTAGATTAGTAGTTGCACGAGAATCGACTGTCAGCGAATCGCCTCAGTTTGGTATTGTTCCAAGTGGAGCGTTGGGCTACCGCCTTTTTGGTCAATCGTCAGTATCAGTTCAAGGCCTTCAATTGCATACCCCCTTGAACAATACTAGATGTTAGGAATAGCGCCGGTAACATAAATTATCTGAAAAAAAAAGAAACGACCTATAAACCCTAGTAGGCGGTCTTAGTGAGGTGAGAGAGAAGTTTTTGAGGCAACGGGGTGTCCACTATAAAAAATTTAACCACCAACGGATTGTTAACGACTCTGGGATATTTTTGGGTTTCTGAGTATGTTACAATGAACATATGGAAATGATGGGACCTTTTTTGTAGTAGTTAAGTTCTAAAAATACACTATTGTGTCCGCAATTCATGAATTTTAACATGTACAATATACATGAATAAGTCAGTGCACTCCGTTTATTACATGATCAATAATCCGGAACTTTAATTTGATATTTTTTAGAAGATCTTCTTTTCAACAATGGCTATTCCTGCGAGACAACCAAACGGAGATCAATCAAAGCGAGTGGCAACTCTTTAACGGTCAACAGTGTAGTGTCCTCGAAGAGTATGTTACCGACGACTTGGAAACCCAAATTCTTTTTGTTTTCTGCCATTGTCCTATACGTCTGCAGATTGAACGTGGCTTCGGGTAAGTTTGTTGTTTATTTTGGTACTTGATCGACGCTTGTACTATACAATATCTATCTATTGGTTATTTCGTCAATAACAAATTGTCTACTCTGCATTTTGAATTCTCGAGCGTACCAAATCATGAATCACGTGAAAATTTTCAACGAGAAAGACTCTGAATGAAATACCGCGTGTAATCGAGCGAATGATACACGTGAAACAAATTATGTTCTTCTACCATTCATTCCAAGTGTCTTTTTCTGACCTAACAGAATCACCGACCTAGGAATGTCAATACAATTTACGGTTAGACCGGAGCAATAACCAAAATAAAACCATCAGCTATAAATAAACGATGTAATACTTTTTTTATCACTCCTATTGGAACCCTCCGAGGTTTTTCTGATTTTTTGTAAGGTTATTGTCACGGCTTCCAACTTAACATTCTATTATTGTATGAATGCTATTTCGATACCTGAATTCTGAGTTGAATCGACAAAAAGATTACAAAGGATCATAAGGATTAGAATTTTTATTTTACAAATTTTACTACTTTTACTGTGATAAAAATATGATTCAGAGCTTTGAGATAATAATAGCGCTTTAATGCGGCATCATTTATAGTATATCACCTTTATTTTATTGTTCTTCTTATAATTGATTACATAATTAGTTTTATTTATACAATGGTTTATTTGCTAGATAAACTGCAACTTACTTCGCCTTGAAAATTTTTTTTTTTAAACAGTGATCACTTTTTAACAAGTGTATTGTTTAACATTTCAAATGCTACTTGCTCTTATAAAATAAATTATTACATCAAAGGAAATAATTACTTAGCAGTGTTTGTGTTGACTTTTGGGTCATAAGAAAACTATAAAATTTCATCCCTTCAATTGTTGTCTATATTTTTTACGTTATTCTATTATTCAACTAAACGAGGAAGGCCATAAATGAACAAAATGACTTGATCCATCGTTTCGATTCTATTTTTATTTCTTAACCCTAGCTGTAGTCTAAACAAAAAATATTTCACGGGCTTCTTGTGCATATGTTGAGCCTACATAAAATAGAACTTGAAGTAACATGTAGAAATCTAAAGAATGTAAGAAACGGGAACAATTCATTGATCTCACAGAACCTTTAATAAGGCACAAAGGCTACCAGTATATGTTTGCCTGAAATATGTTATGAGAAAGCGTTTTGTGAAAATTTTTAGATAAAATATACCAGATTTCTCGTTGTGAGCTTGTGTACAAATATATTGTTTAATAGTAAACACCTATTCAATTTTAATAAAAAAATACTAGTCATTCTAGCTAACAATGGCCTCGTACCCCAACGTTATCTTGCAATTTATCATTTATAAAAAATTTACTATACTTTTCTAGTAACTTTCCTCTTATAATTCTTGTGTTTATGAAAACAATATTTACTTCGCAACAATTTGGAAGGATTCCAAGTTTTTATTTTAACATCCTGTTGTTGTTTTATCATATAATATTGGTTTAATTAGTTTCCGGGTGTATCATTATAGATTTATTTTGTCTAATTATATCCATGACGATAATGGTAACTGACATCTAATTGTTTACATTTATTGGAAATTTTGACTCCACTCTAGACAAATGTCATAAGATTGGTTATTACGTAAGTCTTTCAAAATGTCATGTTGTTCGAAATATTTTTTGCTTCACCAAAAGTTCTAGAGTTGACAAATTACACAAAACAAATAATATTCACTATCATTCTTAATTCAAAAATAATTTGGGTTTGTTATTTACCATTGGAAATTTTCACCGTTTATTTCCGCACTCTTTCGAACACACATCAATGACCTTGCATTATGTTGTGTTGTCGTTAACGGTATTCCTTACAATCGTCGTCACAGCCGCATCCGATTCTGTGAGCTATTGACATTATTAAGTATTTAGTTGGATTCATATTGATGATGGCAGCAGGTGTATATCCTTTGACTGATAACTAACCACTACATCCTCGATTTCACAGCCCATATCACGGATTCTGGGACACATATATTACGCCTTGTTAATTAAACAATTGAAATTTCAAATAAGTATTCAAATAGTAACCATAATTATACGTCAATCTGTTATACCATACAATGTCAGAAATTAGATAATTTAATTATTTTTATAAGATATAAGTAAAAATGTTATACTATATAATAACAATAAAGTTATTAGAACGTCATATAAATAGAAGGATTTTATATAAGTCCTCTTTGAAGGGATACTATTACCAAGAGTAATATAATCGAAAAAACTTCCGACGATATTACATTATATATTAGTTTATGTATTGAAATGTGGATGGTGAATTCAATATCGGATTCCTGTATCTTATTGAAAATCATTATTTGTAATATAACTTTAACTGTAAAATCAAAAATCATTTTTTACTCAAATTTATCGCTGTATATATTTAGGTATCCGGTCAATTCATCACCGGTTAATTCATTGGCAGTAAATTCACCGCAGTGGTCAATTGATTATCGGTTAATTTACTGTCAAAATTTAATACTCAGTTTTAATTAAATTAATATTACTAAAGAAGCTTCAGTAATTACCAGAATTAAATATTTTTTTAATGGAATGAATACGCAATTTTACGATATTGCGATAATAATACGAATTTTTAAACCCAACCGCCTATTAAAATAACATTCATAATACAAAAAAAATTGTCATTAGTCTTTGTCATAATAATAAACTTCAAAAGAAAAAATCATTAAAAAATAAATTAGTGATGCAGCTAAAGTTTTTGAGCTATCCCTTTTAAAAAATCTAAAATGTTTCAATTTTCGTAATTTTGACAAATTTTTAAAATCTCTTCAGAGATACCATTGCACATATTTTTCTTAGTATGATTATTTCCCACAATCAATTGTTCAATTTACATTCGTATATTACTTTCTTCTTTTTTATATGAATAAATACATTTTCAAATTGTTATATGGTTTTCAAAGTGGACGAAAAACCACTATGTCAACTTTCGACAGAATTATTAATTCTTAAACTAATAATAAAGTTCTCAAAAATATATTTTTTCAAAATTCCGTAGTGAAATATTAAAAAGTACGGTTTTCTTTTGTTACGTCTATAAAAATATCCAACACACGTATTTTGAATATTTTTTAGTTAATTTAAAATCATGACGAATTAACCAGTGCGATAAATTGACCAGTAATGAATTGGTGATAAACTGACCGGATACTTAAATATATACAGCAATAAATTTGAGTACAAATATATTTATTAATAAACAATTCAAGATATATTTCAAATGAAGATTTTCAATACGACGCGCATTACCACAAGACAATATGTAAGTCTTTAAAATGCGAAAATAATGTGAAGTAATTAGATTTGAAAGCGGGGTCTGAGAATTAAAACAAAAAATTACTACCTTATTCTAAAATTTCTCATCGAGAGGATTATTGAAGGAAAAAAGAATTGGAATTTCTAAATCTTGACAAAACCATTAGTGTGTGTAAGAAAAATCATCTGGACGTTGAAACTAGGGGTTCAATGTCTAAAATGTGTAATAAATACTTAATTAAATTTAAGTGATTCCGTATGGATTATAAGAACATTATATTAATTTTTACGGATTTCTCGTAAGCTTTATTTCTATTTTTCTACATTTAAACATATTTTAATAATGCAAAATGATTTAATGACTAGAATTTTATTGAATTAAAATTTTTGTAAAAAAAAAAAACACTTCAGAGATAAAATAAAATTGACAACAATGTTTGTAAAAATTAAAAATAAAATCAGCTATACCTTATTTAAATTCATAATTATTTGACTTAATATTTAAAAATCTAAAATGTATTTTAAATCTTTAAAAACTCTATTAGTAATAATATTCGATTATTTTATTAGAATACACTATTTTTTAAATATCGAATTTAAATAAAGACCGATATTGCACATATCAGGTGATACTTGATATTAAATTATAAATCGGCGTGGCCCTATATTATATTAAACATTTTGGGTCATATACTTTTTATCTCATATATCTATATATGTAGGTATACTCATTAATAATAAATTATTTTTTTCAAAAAAAAAAAAGCAAAATGGTTATTAAAATTAAAACGTATTATAGCGATAGAAACTTTAAAAATAAATAACATAATTTTCGAGTAGTTAAAAATTTCTATGAAACGGAAATGCGATCAATCAAAGCGATAAATACCTATTTTATTGTCAGCGATTACATTTAAAAATTAACTGTAGCCTTAATGACATTATGTATTTTAACTTGATAAATTAAAGGAACTATTTGTAAACCCCTAATCTAGAGCAACAAGACATAAAAAACATTGATTTTTATGGCACTATAAAGTTAAGATGAAATTTCTAATGCGTTTAAGATTACACTGTTTGCTTCCTGTTTTTAAACGTTTTTCTAGTTAATGATTTCTCAAAACTATTGTTTGTTTCCAGGATCTCACAATGGTGTAATAAATTATACTAATTGTTCAGTAGCAAATCATAAAACATTTATCAGTTAAAATGCAAATTACCGGTTATTAATATTTAAAATTGATGATTTATACAAAGCAACGAAGTACTGTACATGTACATGATTATTTTTTAAACTAAATTTTTACCGTATATTTTCAATTGAAACAATTTTTAATTCGTAAAATATTATTTTAAAAATCTAAATAACTAAATCTTAAAAAAAAGCCTAATGTTAATGATAAAAAATGAATTTATGGATACATTTTAAAAGTAATTTTATCAATAACGGTTACAAATCATGAAAATTCATATTCAAATGAAAAACTGAACGGCATGGTGTTACAACCAGACAAGTCCAACTTTTTCAGAAAATAATTTTATGTTAATTTTGAATAAATATAATTTTTTTTTTGTGTGTAATTCAGCGCAATAACGAATTATATATTCGTATAATTTATGAAGATATTTATTCTTGAAAATTTCAATTCGTCTATATTTTTATTTGATAATCATTGTA